AACGTTATGGAACACATTAATTAACTGAAAAATGTTGCATAGTGTGCCTTTAAGCCTAGTCTTAAAAGTAGACATGGTGTCTGCCTCACGGACTAAAACTGGTAGTTGGTTCCACAGGAGAGGAGCCTGAGAACTAAAAGATCTGCCTCCCATTCTACTTTTAGAAGTTCTAGGAACCACTAGTAAACCTGCAGATTGAGAGCGAAGTGCTCTGTTAGGAACATGGGAATTGGTGCCAAATTGCGATTTGCAAATGCGATTAATTGGCTAACCCTAATAACGATTTCTCATTGCCCCCCCCTGTCTCTGACCTTGTGTGTAAACATCTTGAGTCAGTGAGGAGGTTTCTCAGCGCGGCTGTGCTTCTCCAGAGGAGTTGTTTGGATAGAGGAGCAGAGCAAAGTTTTTCCCAGAGCTGTCAGTCCCGCTTTGAGTCTGGGCTGCGGTCTCCCTTCACACGCTCCATCACCCTGTCTAGTTCAAAGCCCTTCTAGCTGCAGGTCTTTGTCAAAAGCTTGGTTGGAGACCTTTTATGTCCAAGATGTAGGATTTCTTAGCACGACTTTGATTATTTATTTATTCCACTTCTCTTGTGTGATAGTGCCAATACTTTACACGAAAGCGCTCGGCTTGCTCTGAAATTCCCGCTGCTTTATTGTAGCCCCCTTTTTTTCCTTTGAAATTCCTCTCAGTTCCTCACTTCTGCTCTTCCCGTTTGTCCTTGCAGCCCCCCAGCACCTCTTCCCCACCTTCCACACGCCGATCCCCATCGACATCCGGCACCATGAAGGACGGTACCACTACGAGCCCCACGCTCTGCACGCCATGCACAGGTACGCCAGCCTTTCTACGAGCAGCTTCAGAGGCTGGATCTGATCCGCTCTGAGGTCTTTAAAGCTTCTGAGTCAAATCTAAACATCACATCTAATTTCTACTGTACAGAACAAAGCTTGTTTTCTCCTCTTAACTCTGGAGTGTTTGTAAGCCGACGCTGATTGGAGTTGAGCGTTTGCCAACTCCAGTATGAAAAGAAGACGACGCACGCTGATTCCAAAGTGAATAAGCAATTCCTCCTCTGCAGCTCCTGTTTCCGATAGGAGCGCTGCTCTTTGGGCTCCATCCGTCAGCGGTTCAAACGCCTCGGAGAACTCTGCAGTTTGGCTGCAGGAATCTAAACCTTAGAGGGAAAACTCCTTGTTTTGTGATCAAGGTGCCATGATAGATCTTTTTAACAGTCGTCATGTTTTGGTTCAAGGAGACTTGCCTGAAAGTTTTACTGGATTAAAGCGTTTTTATGGGTCCAAACTATGTCGTTTGCTTTGATATTAGAACAAATATGTTCCAATCCTAACAGTAGCAGCCATTTAGAACGGTCATTCCCAGTCAAAAGCAGCAAAATCCCCTCCAACTTCCAGCCACTGGCCTTCTCCTGGGCCTGCATATTTTATTACTGACTCCACCCTTTTACCGAATTACAGGGTCTGACCAGGAGATGGCGCTTCTCTTTAGAATTAAATGACCATAAATCATGACAGAAAGAATATTTTAGTACAAAGATTGATGTTTGAGAAGGAATTGTAGGGGACCAGCCAAGGACCAGACAAGGACCAGCCAAGAACCAGCCAAGAACCAGCCAAGGACCAGACAAGGATCAGCCAAGAACCAGCCAAGAACCAACCAGGGACCAGCCAAGAACCAACCAGGGACCAGCCAGGGACTAGCCAAGGATCAGCCAAGGACCAGCCAAGAACCAGCCAAGGACCAGCCAAGACCCAGCCAAGAACCAACCAGGGACCAGCCAGGAACCAGCCAAGGATCAGCCAAGAACCAGCCAAGGACCAGCCAAGAACCATCAAAGGACCAGCCAAGAACCAACCAGGAACCAGCCAAGACCCAGCCAAGAACCAGCCAAGAACCAGCCAAGAACCAGCCAAGGACCAGCCAAGACCCAGCCAAGAACCAACCAGGGACCAGCCAGGAACCAGCAGGAACCAGCCAAGAACCAACCAGGGACCAGCCAAGAACCAACCAGGGACCAGCCAAGGAAATGTTAGGTATTTTACCCACAAAAACCAGGACGTAGAGAGAAGGTATAAGGATCATGGCTTTGACGAAAGCCTTTCTGACTCGTTT